AATTCAAGTCTTATCTACTGCTCTGTAACTTGGGGAAACTGCTCAAACACACTTTTACTTCGCATTCTTCGACTGCAAAAGCGTGCAGCACGTATTATTCTAGACGCTGACTTTTCTACTCCTTCTGTTCTTCTTTTTACCTAGATTCAAATAATCCCAATCTTTGATCTTGTTAAATTTAGGAAGCTTCTCTTACTAATTAACATTCTCACAAATCCCAGTGCTCCATCTTCCTTTAAGCAAATGTTTAAATTCTTATCTTCTATTCGACAACGGGCTCTGACTAGAGCTTGCGCATATGACCTTCAACCCCCATTCTCGCGTACTGACTCTGGTAAACGAACATTTCTGTACTGAGTGCTTCCATTCTTTTTAATTGCTTAGATAGCGATTGTAAGCAACTTGCTGCTTCGCCATCTTGCTCTTCATATACTAACGCCAAACACTAAAAATTCGTAAAATCTTTCTTAACCAGCTTAACCTTACTAACTAATATCGAAGCCCTATTTTGTATAAATTGTAAATATTTACTAAATTGTAATTGTATTCATTACCATTTTTTTTCTTCTCATATGTAAATAGTCGTAATCTTTAAAACTTTTTATGCCTGTTAATATCAAAATAGTGCAAGGGCCGTATGTTATCAATGTTAGATATTATCTGTTATGGTTAATACGTTTTCCCTCGTGAAATAAAGTTTCTATTCTATTCTATTATATACGTCCCTGCTTGTGTTGTTACGGGCCTGCAACAGACTTGCAACAACTGATCTTTCTAATTACAAGCCGCTACACTCGGCCGAGGTATATAATCCTAACCGAAACCGATGTCACTGCGCTTGTTCCAAGCCTGTTGACAACCAGCATACCAGTTGCGCCGCCAGGGTTTTATTTTAATTATAAAGGGCGGGAGGGAGTTAATAATTGGTATAAATCAAAACTCTGGGAGGGCGCATACTCCCCGAGAAGTGAATTGAATTTGGGATGTCTGAAACGGCAGATATGCTGATTGTGGGGCCACTTGGTGACTTGCAGAATATTGTAAAAAGGCAAATCACCTCATTGAGAGCCTAAACAAGTATGCTCGCTGCCAACTCAGGTTAGATAACCATGATGTGCCAGAAATGCAGACAATGTTTAACTTGTACAAGCCTGGTGGTTTCTGGAACCTTTACCTGTACAAGCCTGGTGGTTTCTAGAGCTAGGTCTCCTCGCCATTCGATACAATCATATTTCCTTCCTTTTGTGCCCTTTGTACCTATATGTTATTTTCTTTCTTGTTTCTAATTGTATGTGTGTGTGTATATGGCAAAATAAAAATTATTATTATATTATATTATATTATAATGCTACTTATACAGGTTACAGATATTTTTCATAATTAATTATGTTTACATAAAATCTGATTTCAATCAATTCAATGTGATAATTAGTGACTATTATAGCTTCAATTGTGCTAGGTTTTCCATCCATGTATAATTAAACTGCTTACAAATAGTGGCGCTCCAGCTCCAATATATTTCTCTATCTCCCCTACCCCCTGCTACATTAGAGATAATTAAAACAAATTAAAATTAGAGGAATTTCGTTCACTTGGAAGAAGTTGAGAAAAGAAAATTGAAAGTTCTTTTGGCACCGAGCGGTTGTGGAAGCCTACAGCTTTCTGTTCCTGAGCACAGAGTACTAACCGGCATACAGAGGTCTTGCTTCGCGTGAATAACTTATTAAGGTAGTTTTTACCACGTATATTTGGTGGCCATAGCAAATGCTAGCTTAAAAAAAGAGGCATTCACCCCCTGGAATATTAAATTTCAATATGTTTTCAGGGGGGTGATAGCCTCTTTTTAGGGCACTTGCTAAGAACATGGCCGACTGGAATTAAAAATCCCTTACGCTGACGATCAATAAGAAATGAGATCTGAATGGTATGTACCCTATATAAATTTAGGTATAAGACCTAAGTTTATATGTGCATGGCCTATTGTAGTCATTTTTGATCACTCACTTTGCCGATTACTTGAGTGTGGGGCAGTCAAACAATGGGAAATGACCAGCCTGCTTAGCGCGCACTGTTTGCCTGCGAATTGAGCCTTTCAGAACCGGAAATCAGGCTGGAGCACGCGTTCGTTCTTTTCTGATTTGGCAAAAGAAGCACGACAATGGCAAAATTCGCACGGTGCCCGGTTTGCCCTGAAACAACTGCAAACTGCTTTAATTCTTTCTGTCACTTTCATTTGATCTCATCCGTGAGTCGGCCTCAACGACCTTTGATCTCAATATAACAACAAGGACAATGTAATTGTGAAAGTAAGGGGAAGGAAGTCAGGCCTACTTCTCCATAAGAACTAATATACACTGGAACTTCCTGCCATTGTTTCTTTCATCTTTTTTGAAAAATTGAAGTTTATATGCATACTGATTAGTAGGCGCATCTATAGCAATAAACGACAATTTTGAATCCAAAAAACTCGCAAACTCATGCCGGGTTTCATATCCTGAAAATATAGGGTGTATAATAAATGCGGGAAATCGATTAATTGACAGCAGGCTTAGCATCATTTTTTATCACAAAGCAAACAACAAAATATTAGGAGGCAACTAAACAATCCAATCACATCAAAAAACATCAGGGCCAAAAAAGAAAAGGATAATTGATAGGGAAACATGAACCACATAATTAAGGCCTGAATATCGTTTGTTGGTACACATGCGTGATGCACTTGAAAATGCGAAACAAATCATTTAACAATTTAGCAATTATTTTAGTATCTGCATGGTAAACATAACTAGAGGCCTAAATTAAATGAAGTCTGTAAAGGTTTCTCTAGCAGGTTCCTAGCTCTATTATTTGTAAATGAATTATAATATGAACAATTCTTATTATAAAATATTGCACATGGAGAAAGTAATAAAGGAAACGACTCAATTTGAGTGTATCATTAAAGTATGAGGGGGGAGGGGGAGTAGCGCTGCGTGTCTAACGTGGATTTCAGTCAGCCTCATATTAGAATCGCTCCATCCGGCCTCTTTAGCTCAGTTCAGTTAGACTGCTGCATTGCGATCTCAGTAGTCGCTTCCTGCCAGAGGGTCTATTGTTGCATTTTTCGCAGATGTTCCTAGTTAGATCTAATAAATGAATACATTTTACATATTTGAAATGTCATCTACGAAACCTTTCTACAATGCAATACATTATCTGGTCGGTTAAACACATATAGTCACTTGGGTCAGTACCTAGCTATATGATCGAGGCTTGTGATTGGCTGAAACGCTAAATACTAAATTTAAAACTATACATAGATTACATAGAATCTACAACGACATTTACACTGCTAACTCGAATGAAAACTAATTTCTCTTGGATTTTAATAATTTTATACTCCAGATAACCTGAATATTAGCATGGTTATGATGTAGCCCTTAGCCTGGCTAGTCCTGCATGGTAGTAGAGGTAGTTCAGGTAGTAGATCGGTAGTAGAGGTAGTCCAGGTAGTAGATCGGTAGTAGAGGTAGTCCAGGTAGTAGATCGGTAGTAGTGGTAGTCCAGGTAGTAGAGGTAGTCCAGGTAGTAGATCGGTAGTAGAGGTAGTCCTGGTAGTAGAGGTAGTCCAGGTAGTCCAGGTAGTAGATCGGTAGTAGAGGTAGTCCAGGTAGTAGATCGGTAGTAGAGGTAGTCCAGGTAGTAGATCGGTAGTAGAGGTAGTCCTGGTAGTAGAGGTAGTCCTGGTAGTAGAGGTAGTCCAGGTAGTCCAAGTAGTCCAGATAGTCCTGGTAGTCTGTTTGTTGTTTGTTTTTTTAGAATTGGATCAAAAAGGTGGTTGCATGTATTCAGATCCTGGAATGCTGTGAAATGGCCAAGCTGACCTGTTGGGACATTCTATTGGGTGAACATCAAATGGTGTGTGGAGTGAAATGAAATTTCGATTCAATGTGACTGATAGAATTGGAATGGTGTGGATAATGATGATTTTTGTGAATTATGTTATGATGATGCATGTTGTTGTTTGTTTTTTTAGAATTGGATCAAAAAGGTGGTTGCAGGTATTCAGATCCTGGAATACTGTGAAATGGCCCTGCTGACCTGTTGGGACATTCTATTGGGTGAACATCAAATGGTGTGTGGAGTGAAACGAAATGAAATTTCGATTCAAGTGACTGATAGAATTGGAATGGTGTAGATAATGATGAAGCGCCTGGGTACGAAGCAGATCCTATAATGCACGCGGCGAACCTGCATGGCAACACGGTCCTGCAACGAAACGCCCCAAAAACGTGCAAGGCTTGATTGTGATTGGTGACTACCTCGGACTACCCTATTTAATCTACTGGCCAATCAGAAGACTCGATCATATAGCTAGGTATTTACTGAGTCACTTTGAATTACAGTCGTCACGGGATGCGGTGAGCGCGTGTGGACACAAATCTGTGAAACATTCTTCAAAGTATACTTTGTCCTTGTTTGGTTTGGTTTCGCTGCATTGCAAGTTTAAGCCTGGTTTTCATGTGGTCGTAAAGATTGATTCACGATCTTTCTCGTCCGCCAAAATACAACAGAAGATACATGGAGTGATTATTGCTGCGGAGCGAGCGATCCTGAAGCGAGCGAGCGTAGAAGCAGCCTAATATGTGCAGAGAGGGGGTTTTGAACTAAATTTTATTTAGCGCATGGAATTGTGGTCGTGCTCGCTTTCTATGCGCAGAACACACATTTTAAACTCGCTCGAGTCTTCGAATTTTTATCGAATTTCTAAAGCTTTTTCAAGTCTAATGTTACGCTTACATTTGTTTTGGACTTTGGCCACTGTCAGTTCTATATTTTTATAAAGTTTTGGTTTGTTAGTGTGATAAATCTGTGTATATAGTCTATATATAATGTCAGTAAATGCCCTAGCAGTAAACAGAGTTAACAGACTTGATATGAAATCTGATCTTAATTTACCTGTATGTCAATGAGACGCACATGTTTAATATCTGTCACCTCCGATTGCCCTTTAACCCCTGGTCTGTGCTACTTCAATATATATTGCTTCTTCTCAGTTCCATTCACAGCGGCACTTAGTCGCTGCGAGCACGGCTGCGAGTAATCACTGTGCTTGATATAATTTGTGCTGTTTACTGTAGTTCTATTTGCTTTTAATGCCCGCAGCAATCCATACCTTGCAGGTACCCTAGTATTATCAACTACAGAGAATACTATACTTATGATTTACAAGTGATTATATTAACTATAGAGAATACTTATGATTTATATGTGGATTACAGGTACTGAAGTGATTATAGATTGGCCATTGAGAAAGATCGGGACTCTATTTTTACGACCATATTGAAACCATACTTGGTGTAACCATTGCAGACGTTCCACAAGACAGCCAAGCAATTCATTTATAAAAAAGTTGCATTGCGAATTGTCAGTCGCTACAAATTGTCCCTTGGGCTTGGGATATAAACATTTTGCTTAAATTAAGGCTATTTCGGCTTTGATTACCTGCGTATTTATTACAAAATTGTATCAGTGGCTTCTATTTTTCACGATTTCACGTTCTGATGCGGATAAAATAGTACGACGGTTTTATGTACTCCAACGTTTAATTTATTTTGTTTTTAATGCTGCTTTATTATGTAAAATAACCGACACAAAATTCAAACCAGAATTAAATTAAGGATCATTTATACGGTTTCTCGTTTCATTCTTGTAAACAATACAGTTATAGCCGCGTAATAACCAGAACGACACAATCTTACTGGCCTACTGCTAAAACATAAATCCAGATACCTCAAGTCCGAAAGTGTTTACATTTCCACAAGCCTAGGCCACCGGTTGTAGCGAGCCCAGATTTCCTGGCCTACAGTTGGTTAGGCCAAGGTCTGTTTACACTGTCAAAATTTAGGCCGGTAGTAGACACGACTATGTAAAGCCACAAAGCCCTGCCTATACACAATATTAAAAGCGAATTATACAATTTGATACACAGTATCTTGTAAATTATAGCGAAACATATTGACAATAAACATCGTTATGATATTGGCATTGTTCTGACTGCGTTGAAGGACTAGCTAGAGCAAGGGTTTCAAATTGCTAGCGAGCGAGCCGTGAACATATAGTGTCTTTTCTAACGGTCTGTGCTTAGCATTTTAACCATATTTGACTGTAGCACATGCGGCTAATCAAATAGGTATTTTTTTTTGTTTTTTGGGGGGTGGGGGGTTGTTTGTTATACATACCCAATACATTTTGTCAGTATACAGAGATTAATTGTAAATCGGATTGTGGCGAATATAGAGCGCTGCTCACTATGAAGTCTAAAATAACCGATGCGATAAGTATTGAATTCAGTATAGTTATCAACGTCAATCGCCGCCATTAGTTTAGTTCGATTTCGATCATCTAACGACAAAAGGAAAATGTAGCTCGCCATCCGTCGGGCATCGCTTAGACCACGAGTCTTAGACTTGCTACAAGTGGACTCGGACTTCGCTCTAAACGCTGGATAGGCTGGCAGACATATACATCAACAACACCTCTAAAATAATTGTAATATCGAATTCGTTCGCTTCTTTTAGTGAATTTGGTGGCTCTTGAAAGAGCCGGTTTTTGTTGTATTTCTTGTTTGGACTTGATTTAAGCTCGTTCACCACGGATTCGTCGCGCCAGTTGGATGTCTTTGGGCATAATGGTCACTCGCTTGGCGTGGATAGCGCACAAGTTCGTGTCTTCAAACAGACCGACGAGGTATGCTTCGCTTGCTTCTTGTAAAGCCATCACAGCCGAACTTTGGAAACGAAGATCGGTCTTGAAATCTTGAGCAATCTCACGAACCAGACGTTGGAAAGGCAGCTTGCGGATCAGAAGTTCGGTTGATTTCTGATAGCGACGGATTTCTCGGAGAGCGACGGTTCCTGGCCTGTATCTGTGAGGTTTCTTCACACCACCAGTAGCTGGGGCACTCTTACGAGCTGCTTTCGTAGCCAAGGTCTTTCTTGGTGCTTTTCCACCAGTTGACTTACGAGCGGTTTGCTTTGTACGAGCCATCTTTTCTTCGACTTCAAAGTATCTTGCTTCTTGTCTTCTTGGGAACAAACGACGATTGAAATTTGAAATTCAAGCATCGCGCTTCACGTTATATACACAGCCGTTGTTCGCTGATTGGTTAATTTTCAGACAATCGATCGCGTACATGATTGGGTTAAAACCGTGCGCGATCATTGGTTAACGTGGCTCATTAATTCCAACGTTTCTTATTGGCTAGTTGTTATCCTCGTTGAAGGCAAAGCTCGACATGGAAATATAGAGTAACTCTAGTGGAGTTATTTTGAGCCAAATTTCACTCCACATTTTGAGTTAATTAATAAATTTGGTTCGAAATAACTGCACTGAGAGTTAAATTAACTCCTTAAAGTTAATAGTGTATAGTACTGAATACGAAACAAGTGTAACTCCAAAGCCGGATCGCGCATAACCGATTCAGGCAGTCTATATTTATCAACGTTTCGACTATATTCAGCCTCAGTCATCATCAGGATAAACTAGCTAGGTTATACATCAAAAACAGTATTTATAATTATGAAGAAATATGATACATTTACTTGAGCCTATGAATTTACTTGCCCTGGATGTAATAGTACTATAGTAGGTACATCGGCAAAACTTGACCGCTGCTTATACACCAGAACTGTCTAAGACTAAGTAACATTCATATACACAGAATATATGTACTCCATCAGCATGCACCTCTCTACTTGCGAATATTTTCAGCATAGTACTGATATATCTATGTTTAAAAACCGTTTAACAACCGGGCAATGAAAACATTCATGATTCATCATAATATTTCGATCACTAGATGAAAGGGTTTAATTCGTACGCTATTTTGTCTGATAATTATGATTTTCTCTTCTAGCTAGTATAGTTTTCAGAAAATCAATTTTCCCTCCCTTCAGAAAATTCTGACTTAAGGCCATGTTGACACGGTGCAATTTTTCTTGCAACTTGCAATGCAATTCTACTCTTGAGAGACGTAAAATTGCCAACAGGCACTCAAAAAGTTCAAAGCTCTTCCACAGGCACTCAAAAAGTTCAAAACAGTGTGCGAGCTCTACTTCTCTGGTCCGTTGAAATCCAAATCGGAACAAGAAAATTAAGGTTAGCTATCTTCTCATCTGGACAGGGGACGAAGGAATTGAACTAGCATCAACTTGGGATTTATCCGACGAGGAGAGGAAAAAATTGAATACATATTGGACAAAATTCGAGGAATATGTCGCCCCAAAGAGCAACTTCAGGCTAGCAAGGTATAAACTACGTACTCTTAAACAAGCTGAAGGTGAGACAATAGATTCATTCTTAAAGAAAGTTAGAGTTCTAGTAAGTGAGAGCAAGTATTCTAATGCAGATGAACATCTTATCGATGCTCTAATTTTTGGCTCCAATAACTCAAATGTGCAAGCCAAATTACTAGAACAAGATTCGACCCTGACCTTGGACAAAGCTATAGACATAGCCAGGACACAGGAAGCCACAAGTACACAATTGGCAGATATCAGGGGTCCCAGTAACTCAATACATGGCTTAGAACATAAGAATCGTAAGAAACAGCAACAGCAAACCCTAGATAAAAGCAGCATGAAAATGTGTGTGAATTGTGGACGTAGCCATGACCTATCATGATCAAGTCGCTCACTCTGTCCTGCATTCAATACAAGATGTAAAAACTGCAACAGGTTACACCACTGGGGAAGGGTTTGTCGTTCAGGGAAGCAACTGACTTTACATGGTAAAAACCATGGAAAGCCCCAACAATATCCAAAGGGAAAACCCCAAAAGCAGGTGAACTCCCTAGAGCAACAACCTGATCATGCAGACCCAGTAGTACCACAACTATATTTTCACTCCATTAGCATTCATAATTTGAATGAGTATAATACGCAAGCCATTGTTGATCTAAATGTCAGTTCAGATCAAGTTACCAAGTCAGTGCCTTGTAAGATAGACACTGGTGCCGAAGGTAATGTGTTACCTCTTGATGTGTATAAAGTAAAAACAGCTTTATCCTAACTCACACTACAATTTGAATGGCAAACCTTCTGGTCTAATACCATCTAATACCAGAATTACTGCATTTGGTGGTCATAAAATTGAACATTATGGCACTGAATTGCAAATTACACCTAACACACAATGGGAACACTACCGAGTACCCCTTCCATGTAGTCAATACTAGAAGCATGGACTTGGTAACCTTGCACTATAGTATTGATCTTGATACAGCCAAACCACCAATGTCAACATCTAATGGTGACCTCAAAGCTAAGAAAGACATACTTTATGAGTATGGTGACGTGTTTAATGGGATTGGATGTTTTAATGGTGAGTTTCACATATATAACATTAGATCCTTCTGTACCACCGGTTATACACCCACCACGCAGGGTCCCCGAAGCAATCCGTGAACCACTTAAGAAGGAACTTGATTCCTTAGAGTCGCAAGGCATCATTGTGAAGGTATCAGAACCTACCAATTGGGTGAACTCGCTTGTATGT